ATTTGAAGTCTTTTTCTATACAGCTAAATTTGAAGAGGCTAAATCATATTCACCATTGATTTTGCCGATATGTACCCAGAGGGCAAATGGAAATATTGTTGTCTATGAAGGAGTTAAACTTGCACAGGACACTCCTACCATGTCTAGCTATAGCTCTAGATTAATGAAATGCAAAATACATGTAACAAGATAAAATAAAGTCTAACTCATTTGAATTACCATATACTATATAGTTTGGGGGAGCCCTGGTGGCACAATGGTTAAGTGTTCTGCTGCTAACCAAAAGGTCGGCAATTCGAATCAGCCAGCTATCCTTGGAAACCCTCTGGGGCACTTCTACTCTGTCCTATAAGGTCACTATGAGCGGGAATCAACTCAACAGCAACGAGTATACAGCTTCAGGGCTGTATTTATTCCTAACCATTGTGAAAAGATTAATCTGTAAATTAATATACTCTACTAAATAACTTTAAGAAAAGAAATAGTCTTGTGAACAGTCTTTGACAACTGAACTTCACTAGGTACAAAACAGATTGCCAAAAAACGGGTTTTGGACAGCCACAACTCTCTAATCCCATCAGACAACCTCTTCTCTTCTTTACGAGAGACCTGCACGCACCTCCTCATCACTGCTGAACAATAAGGCCGATGCTTTCTTCTTGGAGGGCTCAGTGAGCTTTGTTTTCTCTTGACTTGGAGTTAGCAGAGATGATGTCTGCTTTTTAGCAGCTTTAGCCCCAAAAAGATTATCCTGGAAAACCAAAGACAGGGTAAGACAACTTTACATACAGAAAATGTAGTCAGAAGACTAAGACATTCCCGCATGTCAAATTGTAGGTACTAAGTCTCCGGTCAGGTACAGAATCTAACACCTTTGGGGAAAAAAATCACAGAATGCTAGTAAATGCCACTCCCCATCTTAGGTATAACTCTACAACAACAGTCTATAGTTTTTTCTAGCTGTAGTCTCCAACCACAGAAGGAAAAGAAATTACCCCGGAACTCAAAGGTAGAACACTTGGGTGGTGGGGGGAGTGAGGACAAGGTCTCAGAGGTAGAGCAAGGAAAACGCGGCAGCCCCTCTGTCATAATCAAGGAGGGTCTATGGTCTGGAATTAGCAAGATAGGAGAAAAGCCCCCTGTGGCAGCCAGCAATCTGCAACTTCGTCTTTCTATGAATTAGAAACTGAAGCAATGGGTTAAAGGAGAGAAAAATAGGGGCTTTCTCTTCTCTTTCACATCTACAAAAGACACCTGGGACCGAGGAAAGGCATGACCTGTGTTTCTAGTTGATTTTAAAGAGACAATACAAATTTAGGAAATCGTTTACTAAAGTCACTAGCTGTTTTAAAGGCAGATTCTTACAGGTTCAGTGTCATTTGTAAATTCTTGTACAGTCAAGCACTGCAAAAGTACCTACTAAGGTACTTTTATTAAGGTAATGAGAACTAAACAATTAGAGACCCTGAGACAGAGTTAGGACGGACAAACACTCTCAACAATACACCACAGCAATGGAACAGTTCTGAAATGTAAAGACATGAAGACAGCCTTCTGGGAGGGTGCAGTAAGAAAGGTCACAAGAATAAAGAGCTGACATCAACAGGAGATACCAGTATGAGCTAAGCGCTCTACATGAGTTACTTGTTTTCACTGCCACAATGACCCTACATACTGTTAAATCATGGGAGATTCGGAAAGTTTAAGTTACTTGCCCATGGTCCCTGGTCTGCAAATGGTGGAGGTGGGGTATAAACCCAGGGGTCTGACTGCAAAGCCCATGAACTTAGTCACTGCCCAACACTGTGGAAAGGTTAAGGTGTGGTCTGCCCTCCCTCATTTCTCCCCTGCACATCTCTCTCTCAGTCCAGGGTGAGAAAGAAAGGTGAGCTCAGAACACACTCTGCTTCTCCTCTCTATCCCACGTTACCTAACACCTTCTGTGTAGGTCACTGGGTATAACAAAGGCACACTCTCTGCAAAGATTTCATTTCAAAAAATGAAATCTATAAAGCCTGCCGTAAGAACCGGGTCAAGAATCTCATGTCCTCCCCACTGCAGAGCTAAGAAAAGAAAGGAGACCCTGAAATTAAAGCAGAAACATCTGCGTGACATAAGCCCCCGACAGTGGGGCTGCTTCCCCATCGCCTCTCCCTAGTGAATGGACCTCTGGCTACAAAGCAAGATCAACAATAGTCTTACGCTAATCTAAAAATTAGTTACCTAATGCTTTAATAACAATGTTTACCTCTTCATCTTCATCATCAAAAAGCGAGACTGACGTGGGGAGTTTGCTGGGCAGGAGAGATGCACCTTTGGACTTACTTGCATTTTGAGAAGAAAACAAGTCCTGTTGGATCAAGATTAAATTTGCTGGTTAACAAGATATACAATTTTTTTTTTTAAATATAATTTTTTGTTGTTGTTATTGTTGTTGAGAATATACACAGCACAACATACACCAATTCAACAGTTTCTACATGCACCATTTAGTGACACTGATTACATTCGAGTTGATAACCATTTTCATCCTCCTCTTCTGAGTGGTCCCTTCCCCATTAACATAAATTCACTGCCCCCTAAGCTTCCTATCTAATCTTATGCGTTGCTGTTGCCAATTTGATCCCATACAGGTAGTTCTTAAAAGAGCATAACGCTCAAGGCAGACCGTTTTTATTAGTTTAGCTAAACTAGTGTTTGGTTTTAAGACTTCAAGGGCTATTTTTGGTTTAAGGTTTAAAGATTATCTCAGAGCAATAGTTTTAGAGGTTCATTCAACCTTCATGGCAACAGGAAGTCTGGAGTCCATAAGAATTTGAAATTCTGTTCTCCATTTTCCCCGTCATGGATTGAATTGTGTCCCCCAAAAAATGTGTGTAGCA